AAAAAAAAAGAGAAAAAATCATCTGCTACGCAACATGATTTATTAGAGCAATAAATATCATACGGACTGTGCAAAAAAGCAAATTTCTCGCACAGTGCAATTCATTTTTTTAAAAGAGGAAGAAGCATCAATGGTGCGATCAGACAGCTGGGCACGGTAGGAAGAGCATGGTCTATTTTGTACCGAGCCAACATTAAAACCATTAGCATGGAAAAAATGTGTGAAGCAAAAGGCATCAAATTCAATAAGGCAGGGACAAAATTTGTCCTGATGAGGAATAAAGTCCGATTAGTAAGATCCAAAATTTGATCAAGGAGAGAAGCCACTGCAGAGAGTATAAATTTTTGGCAAGGAAACGTGGACCAGGCGGACTAAAATGTTATCTAGAGAGATGTCATATCAGCTTAAAAAGGCTAAGTTATGCTGGAACATTAGGCACAATAGACTTAATGCCTAACCTTGGAAAGCAAGAACATATGAGCAAGTGGCATGCAGAAAAGAACAGGGCGGCATTCTGGCTTGCTGCACTTGACAGAGCTTGGTTCAAAATGAATAGCGCTCACTCAGGCGAAGGCTGGACGTGCTAAATTGTTAAACACTGGAACGGAAAGAGTTTGCTTTTTCAGAGACAGCGAGTATTTTACTCATGTAACTCAGAAAGCAGAAAAAAACTGACCTCCAATAACGCCAAATGTAATGTAAAGAAATGGGAGCGATGAGACGAACGAAGATAGTATAAAACCAGTGAATGTTATCAAGGCACCACCAATTGTTACAAGGCGGCATCCGAACAGATTAGCAAATGCACTTGCCAGTGGACCTGTTTTAAAATAATGCTTGATTATTAAAAGTATGAAAAACAAGCTAAGTCCCTGAAAAGTTTTTACTTGATGTGGCATGTTTGGACCCTCAAGACTTTGAATGAACGTGCGGCGGCTTTGTCTTCAACAACAGTTAAAATTAATTATTAGAATAGGAAGGCCATCTTAATTCAGATTAATCACAGAAAAATTGATTTATCCTCGTTTGTTGCCTAAAAATATTTCCAGCAATCGACAATGAAGACGTTTAAATGATCATGATGTGAAAAAAAAAAAAAAAAAAAAAAACGCAGAATACTGCATCAGAAACAAAACGTAGTTTTGGTGATAAAAACGAGAACCCAGGCTGGAACGCACCAGGCGGGCCGATGTGATCATGCGTTTTGGCACTTTCCGTGCTAACGCAAGATCGCAAGGAATCACAGCAGCTAGTCCTGTGACATACTGGCTCTCGAAGTTCGGGAATTTAATTGTGCAGCTATGTGGCATGTCAGTTGTAGATTCGACTTCAGCGACCTGACAAATAGGAAGTTGTTGGCCCGCGAAGAAAGCCCCACTAGGAAAGTTAAATTTGAAATTTTTTAGTCGTACATTAGTAGGGAACACTCCCTTAAAATTAAAGCCTTCCAGCCAGAAGTTTCTGAGTTAGCAATTTTTCCGCAAAAATTTTCATGCGCCTGTACGTGAGTCTCGGACGATTCTATGGAGCAGAATTTGAAATTTTTTGATCGTACATGAACAGAGAGCAGTCTCCCAAAGTTTCAGCTTTCTAGATTTTCTCGTTTCCGGGTTGGCAATTTTCCTGCCAAACCTCTCACGTGGTCTTACGCGGGGCCCAGACGTACGTGAGGGCTTGGCTGGGGAACACTCAGGCAAAATTTTGGCTTCAAAGTTTGTGTGGATGGCGAGTTTAGACGAATACACACACACACGCGCACACACACACATACATACACATACACGCACACTAACAGGGTCGTTGTAATATGCGCCTTTGCTGCCTGTTGCAGCGTTCTAGCGCTGCACAGCAAAAACGCATAAAAACTAATGAAATACTATGTAAACGACGTTAAATAGGTTGGAAAAATTCAGTCCTACAAAAACGAACCCGACCAATTTGCTCATCGCAGTAACTGACCTGCAAGCAAATAAAACCCAGTGAGAAGCGATTGAGCAATGGAAGCTTGCATAGCTGTTGTCCTGAAATCCTGCTCCCAAATTCCAACCAGCGCTTCGCCAGTTGTGAAAATAATTCCGTCAACAATGATATTGGCGCAAAATGAGGCGAAGACGACCACCCATCCATAGCCACCTGCAACTTAGGCTAGTCAGACACTGCACGTGATCAGAACTGCTCAGACCGGTGGCAGTCAAGCTTCTGACATAAACAAACTAAACAAATGTCCGAGTTCTTTTTACCGAAACGGAATTTTTTTTAAACTTTTCCTCATATTTACACTAATTTAGGTTTTTAAAAAAAACTTCGCACTTACTGGTTGTTAATTTCAATGTATCCAGACCAGTTTTTTAAAACACTTTGCATAGCCTGATTTCCGCACCCCCCTCGAATAGATTTTTCTCCTCTTTGATTAGATTCTGCACGCTCAGTCTAATCTATCCGGAAAAATCGGGTCCTGACCGAGTTAGGCTTTTTCCCATATGAATTATTCCCTTAAGTGAATCTTGATTCTTTTAACCTAAATTTCCATATCCCCTTCTCTTAGACAAATTGACTTCCTAAACTACAGCGCTATGCGTCACTTCTCGCTCCTTCGAGTATTCTGTCGAGAAATGGGAATTATTCAAACTTGAAACAACAGCTTGGTGAATATCGCAAGTGCAGAAAAGAAATTGCAGAAGCAGATCTATACAATTTACGACTAGATAACCCAGAGCTCTTTGCTTTTTATCATGCGTTTTTGCCGTACAGCGCTAGAACGCTGCAACAGGCAGCAAAAACGCATACTGCAACGACCTGGTCTGTTTGCTTATGCATGTGTGTGTGTGTTTGTGTTTGTTTGTGTGTTCGTCTGTCTGGGTATTTCAACTCACCAAGCTCGCAAGCTTTGAAGCTGAAATCTTGCCAGTGTGTTCCCTGGCCAATTGCTACCCCAGGACCGCGGTACCAACCTTCACGCACGTTTGGGTCCCGCGTACGACCACGTGAAAATTTTAGCGAGAAAATTGCTAACTCGGGACGAGAGAAGCTAGAAAGGTGAAACTTTAGGGGGATGTTTCCCACCCATGCAAGGTCGAAAGATTTTAAATTCAGCTGCTTAGGACTGCTCGGACTTACGTATGGGCAAGTGAAAATTTCGGCGAGAAGATGATAACTCGAGAGTGAGGAAAGCTAGAAAGTTGAAACTATAAGGGGAAGTCACTTACTCACGTACAACTAAAATTTTTCAGACCCAGTGCCTTAGAACAGCCCGGGATTCACGTACGAGCACGTGAAAATTCCGGCGATGAAATTGCCAACTAGGAAGCGAGAAAAGCTAGAAAGCTGAAGCTTTAAGGGAATGCTGCCAATTCATGTACGATTAAAAGATTTCAAACTCAATTCTCCTAGTGGGGCCTTTTTCGCGCACCAGCAACTTTCCATTTGCAGGGTCACTAAAGCCAACACTTACAAGTAACATGCCACATAGATGCGCAATTAAATGAACTTCGAGGGCCAGTATTTCACAAATTCTAGCTATCGTGATTCCTTGCGATATTGCTACAGCAAGAAATAGTGCAAAAACGCATGATCGCACCAGCCTGCCTGATGTCTTCCAGCCTGGGCTGCTGTTTGGTTTACAGGATGGTGTAAAGACGATGCTGCGCAGTTTCACTTTTATGCGTTTTTGCTTATATGCAAATGCGAAAACGCATATTGTGACGACCCCGGTGTGTGTGTATGTGTGTGTGTGTGTGT